CACAAGCTAAAATACCCCTTCACTACTGGTGGGAAGCATTTTCGATGGCTACCTACCTTATAAACAGATTACCAACTCCTGTACTTGGCCTGAAAGCACCCTATCAACTCTTATATAAAAATGAGGTAAAATATGAAACATTAAGAGTGTTTGGGTGCAGCTGTTATCCCTACTTAAGACCCTATAACAAACACAAATTCTCATTTCACTCTCAAAAGTGTGTAAACTTAGGTTTTAGTGCATCTCATAAAGGATATAAATGTCTAAGTTCAACAGGAAGGGTGTTTATCTCCTTACACATTGTGTTTAATGAAACTGAATTTCCATTCAAAACAGGTTTTCTTGATAAATTCACACAACCAACTGACTCTATGATAATCACATTTCCACTTCCACTGACAACAAACTCTCAAAGCTTAACCTCTATATACACATCACCTCCTAGCACTTCTGAAATATCAGCAAATCATCAGTTAGATACTACAGATTTTGCCACTCCCATCCAAACAACTCAAGATGTCCATCATTCAGCATCTCAGTCACCCTTAGCTCCTGTTGGCAGTTCTGATAACATACAAAATGCAGGAAGAGATAGTATACAGTACGAAGAAGTGGAAGAGTTGGGTGATGTGGTTTCTATTGTAAGAGTAGCAGAAGATAGAATAGAAACAAGAGAAAATGCTAAAGCTGATACAGGACATCACATGATGACAAGGGGAAAACGTGGAATATTTAAACCTAAGGTCTACTCAGCTGAAATCTCAGAACCAACTAATGTCGAAGAAGCCTTGTCTAATAGCAACTGGAGAAGAGCAATGCAGGAGGAGTTTGAGGCACTACAAAGAAATCAGACCGGGGAATTGGTTCCTCACAGAGAAGCCACCAAAGTGATAGGTTGTAAGTGGATTTTCAAATTGAAATACGACTGTGAGGGGAACATAGAAAGGTATAAGGAAATGCTGGTTGCTCAGGGTTTCTTGCAGACTTATGGAGTTGACTTCAAGGAGACTTTCAATCCAGTGATTAAAGCTTCAACCATAAAGATCATTCTAACTCTGGCAGTGACAAATAACTGGGATATCAGACAAATTGATGTAAATAATGCTTTCCTAAATGGAAAACTTAATGAGGAGGTTTATATGTATCAGCCTGAGGGGTTCATTGACAGTAAGTTTCCTGATTCTGTCTGTAAGCTAAGGAAATCAATTTACGGATTGAAACAAGCTCCAAGAACTTGGAATGATGAACTGAAAGGCACATTAATTAAATGGGGAATGACTCAATCTAAGGCTGATAATTCTCTCTACTACCAGTTGGAAGGAAACTGCACTA